GAAGAAGTAGATGTCAGACGGAAACTTTCCCTCACCCGCCGGTAACCTCGTGTTGCTCGCTGTTCGCCGGCTGCCACTGTTCATTCGCTCGTTCGGGCGAAAGGCAGTGACTCAGTAATGGTCCAGGGCTGGTTCGACGCGTTCCGGCATAGCGGTTCCCCCACTTGGTACGGCGACCATCGAACACCTGTCATCGCCGAAGTGACCACCGTGCTCACTGGCCTTTTGTTTGTCTCCTTGTTCAGCACCTTTATGATCATCTTTCCGGGAGTGCGCAAGGCGGTTAGTACCTTCGTATGTCATTCTCTTTGAACCAGTTGTTTGGTAACGTTGTTCTTGCGCCTTTGTGTTGCAGTCCGTATAGTTCTGATCGCTCCACACATAAACGTCGCAGCACATCTTGTATGCAGCTGGCTACGCCATAAGCTCGGTGATTTTTTGCCAATAATACTAATTCTTTGCCAATAATGCATTAACAGTCTTAGACTTATTCTGTATTCATTTTAATAGTAGAAACATTGGTCAGTAGTCGCTTTGATTGCGCATAATTTTTCGCTGCCAGCAGTTATATTTTCGTTTTCATTTCACTGATTTCCGTCTGATGTACGAACACTGCGCTGGAAAGACTGCAAGTAGCCGATGGCCTTTCTCGAATGCCACTACTTTCCTGCTTTCTGCTTTCCGTTGCTTCTGATCCATTATATTTTTCAGTGACAGGGAAAAAATCTAAGCTCGTAACCGTTAAATCGTCGACCTTCCTTGATGGGACGATTTTAGCGCCCTTCTTTTCATGAAGTTGATGGTGCGTCGCTGATCTCTGTTTCTATGCCGTCAGCCACGGAGTGCTTTATTTTAAAGATAGAGACTACGGCTGTGTGGTAAGTGCAGCGTGTAGTGTCCTGTTTTTTTTGCCACGGAGTGATGCTCATTTATCAACATCTAAATGAAGAAAGGCGAGTGACCCCGACCAGGTCCTGAACTCGGGACCTATTGGATATTAATTTGATGCTCTGCCGATGGGACAACCTCGATCTGAAACATCATGTGACTGATACCTTGGTCATGAGATTCCATGAATAAGATAGAGATTGCCCTCAATCGGAATCAAACCTTGCAGCACGTTTCTCAAATTCGACACAACTATGGCACTCAGTGATATGAAATTGAAATTATCTCTGAGCCAAGGCTTTTCTGCAACTGACAAGATGCCGACTGTTGTGGTTGCACGCCGGTTTAGGCGATTCATCACATCACTAAAGTGTGTCGCGCTGCCCACAAGCGATGTCTGTTGTTCCACATGTAGAACCTGACGTTAGAATTGTTGACGACTTATTGGCAGAGTTGCTGAAATCATCTAAACATTTACCTTATTTAACGTAATGCACTTAGCTGTATTTTCAGAGAAATTCGCGCCATGCAATCTCCTCCTGATTCCAATCAAAAGAATTTGGTATAGATATGCTATCGCTTTGGCATTTTGATTTCAGCTTGCTAACCGATTGTAAACAATTTACTTTTGAATAAACTGATGGTTCCCTTGCAAACGGTTTTTACCTCTCCAACAAAGTTGTGATATATAATTCGTGTACATGTTTCCTCTGATGCGTAATTAATCGAAACACTTTTAATAGTATGCTCATCTGTCATAATGCAGTGCAATGCATGAAATGTTGAAGAACGGCATAAAACATGTTTATTATACACAACGCAAAGCATGGTATAGTTAATTGGATGATGGAGGATGAATGACCGGTACGGACATCTTGGCCAGTGTCTCACGGGCTTTCTTCAACGTATCTTATCGCATCGGTTAGCGGATTTAGAGCAAGAGAGCATTCTGCGTTCTTATGCTAAATGGGTTTTCATCTTTGTCTAAAATCGATAGATTTTAAAGAAAGAGAAAGACAGCAGTGATCCGTAGTAATATTCACTGCTAACCCAGCGGCCGATATCTTTCACTTTCGTCGAAGGCTGGATTCGATATACAATATAAACAAGTTTCTCTAGAGCAGAGTTCCTCTTTCCGGTCCGGGATCCAATTTGTTTTGTAGCACTGCCGCCTGTTAGTTGATAGAGCAGAATGTCAGTAAGGGTCACTTCATCAGCTCGTTTGCTGTAAAGAGAATAGAAAATAGTCTCATCTCATCATCACTGCATTTTCAACACGGTATGCAGAAACGTGCTGCTGTTGAAATTAATCAAGATGTTGCACGCACGTAGTTATACTGTATGTTGATTCATTTTAGTGCTGAGCAGCGAATAGTTCCAAATATATATCGAGATGAAGATAACTCATCTAAAATGCTGGGTCAACTGCTGCAAGTGACGCCCCTTCCCGCTCGTTAGCGTCGTACAACTTGTGTCAACTGAAAGTTTTATTAAAGTTTGCTTATGCGAATGACACGATGCTGACATTTCAAGATAGCACTCGACTAGTTAGGCCTGGTTCTAATATTCTACTTAATGGTCGACTACTGCCACCGCTGGAACCTGTAGCTGAACCCGTAAAAATCCAAACAGCGGTGCCAACTGTCTACCTCAATTACCGGCTTGCAGTATCGACGCACCATTTCCCTTGCTCGTGATTAAGTAGAGAGTAGAATCACTCCGAATACCTTAGAATGACGTTAGACTGTTCTCGCGCTTACGTCCTGAACACCTATGCTGAGACCAAGGCTTGCAACCGTTGTGCGTAAACTTATAGGAAGGAGCTGGGTAGCTGATGTCCAAAGTTTGCGAACAGTGACCGGTTGCTGTCTACCATATGGCTGAATACCATGCACCCCTAACTCCAGTGTAGCCACACTCGTTACCTCGATATCATTTTCACTAACACTATGAACACCATCCCGGTACTGCACGAACTTACCAATTTTACGCATTGACTACTCATGTTTTCGATCGTCCCCCTCCGCTTTACGAAGTTTTTAATATTTGCTACCGCAGTACCGCGATTTGCAGGGCTAGAAATACGCTGAGTGATCAAGACCTATAAGTCCGTTCCTCAACTGGATTTAAATCAGCGAACCATTCAGGCAAGACGTTCGCGATCACTTAAGGTTAGTTACATAATCTTTTGGCTTGAGTTAGGAGCGAGGAGAATCTTGTCCAATTTCTACCACGCATAATGACAATATCGTTGGCGACCTGACCTAGAATCCTCCAGGCTGCAATTTGACTTAGTTGCTGTAAGCCACTTTGGTCTGAATCCGAACGATGTACGACGGAACAGAGTAGGACACCATCTCTGGAAGTGACGTACACATGTAATCCTGTTTGTGGCAGTGTGAAACTCTTTGGTTTAGAAGGGAGTCGCAACGTTGCCTGCGCTCGAAGCCGGCTTCGAAGAATTTAATTCATTGATAAAGGTACCGCTTTATAAAAAATACATATATGGAATTTTTTGTCTGTGAAAACGGTCATCTGACCAATTGGCTAACCGTGGATACTTATCGTGACCATCACTTCAATCAACCGTTTGCAAGCCGCCCCTGACTTGCGATATTCGCTGCATCCTCAGCTTTTCAACATTTTTATATTGATATGCCAGTTACTGTATTATAGAAACACAGTTCATATTTGAACATAGATTTGCCTCTACCTTATTCACTCCTATACCGCTTGGCTTTCATTTCATATATGCAGTGTTTCGGTTCTCAGGAGAAACTCATCAACTGGAAGAAAAATTTTATGTTTCGTCAAGTTGTCTGATCTCTGTGTCTATTGGATATATGTATCTCGAAGAAAACTGATCTGTTTACTTCATCGTTCCCTGTAACCCTTATACTGCGTCGAAGAGAGCGTTGTTGTTTGTTCACCCGTCCTGATTTTTCGTTGGAAGAGCGGCGGATTTGCCCTATAGTAGCATTATCCCGATCAGGATTAGAAACAGATAGGTAGGTAGGAAAGAGATATTCCTTTACTCAAAAATATTCTCGATATGTGCAATGGCTATGTATCCATTGTATGTATGCAATGAATTATCTAAGTTAACTAATACCATCGTTGGAGATTAGGGAATTCAGAAATTAAACTCTTAGGGGAGTGAAACTGCTCAGCAACGAAATAGAGCGACGGGAGCATTTTGATTTGCATGTTCATTTTGTGCTCTGGTAATTTGTTAAAAGTCTCAAACGTTTGCTGCGCAGTTTCTAATTGTGTCTAGGTAGGTTCATGGAGTAGAATAAGCCGAGTGTTGTTGAGCAAATGTAATAAAGTTGTGCAATAGAATATAAAGTCACAAGACCTTCTAGAAACCTTTTCTGCCCTGATTTTCATACCAGCATAAGTGTTATAGCATTTTGGTAAAGTTTAGTTCATAGTACCGATAAACAGACGATTCAGAATTAAAATGACTGAACATGTACGTGAGTGGATTTGAGTCATCAATATATGAGGCTGCATGCTAGCATGCTGTACTTCTCGCTTTAGTTCCGCTTTGACTGTTATATGTTATGATTAATTGCTCATCCTTAAGTTAGGCATCCCTGCTGAACGGCGAAAGCGCTTTGCGAGATTTTTGCGCTTCCGTTTCTGCAGAAGTATGTATTGCTTACTCAGCTGCTCACCGGTAACCGTTCATGCGATAATGTTCATGCTGGTATGTTGCAGTTTCCGGATATGGGCATAGAATATCCTCTTTTACATTGCTACTGAATTGTGAACATTCAGAATAGTTTTGAAGAGATCTAAGGCCGAGTGAGACTCCGAAACACGATAGAGCGTCAACTGAAAATTGAGCGGTTACTAGAAGAGTGACTATTGGAATCGCTATCATGAAGAATCGTTTTCATTTTCGGATTGGAGGTTAACCACTCATGGAAGAAATCAATGCAATTCAAGAACTGCCCTGAAGGCTCTGTCTTAGCTAATGGCCAAGAATTCTAAGAATTCATCAGCTATGTATGCCAGCAGATGGATCGCACGAACTCATTAAACAGGAAATTAGTCGAGGAATAAATACGGTTGGGGCTTGCTATATTCGTATCATTACCCGACCATTAGCTGCCAATCCGATGTGGGCAAAGAAAGAACTGTTCGATGCAGTCGTCTTACCCGGTATAATTTACTGCGCTGAATGTTTGTCTCCTACTAAATTTCAGGAGAACAAACTGATGATCACGCAAAGAGCGATTGATGTGCAAGATGCCCCCAGGATGACGTCCAGAGCGTACAGATTTGATAACGGACTGGATTAATAGACGTCATTTTTGGCTTTTACGACGCCAAGGGAAGAGGAGCGCTCATTCAACCACGTGGACGTCAAGAATTACAAACCCCTTTGCTTTAAATAGCAGCGTGTATTCGATTCTCCAAGAACACGTTAAGTTGGTCTGATCATCAAATTACTTGATCAGTGGTGGCAACAGAAAGCGAGAAATGGAAAATGTTGGAGGAGTGGTGACTTGCGTTCCAATAGCACCCATAACGAGGTGAAGTCGGATAGCAGAAGGCAGTAATTTTTTTATGCTGAATAAAAGCTTAAGCAAGTATCGAAATCACTGCCTGATGACGCTGTGTTTTTAGAATCTCGTTCTTTTTCCGTTTCTTACCTGTTTCTCTGTATGCGGAATGCGGAATTACTTTTTAAAGATGCTGTTTTTGTGGAACTTGTCTGTAGCACTTCTCCTTATGCGAACATTAACGCCCCAATGATCTGTTTTGTTTCACAGCTATTATCACAGTTTCTCACGTATCAGAACGACAATCGCCAAATTTCTAACTTACTTAACTAAAACGTCTCACGGGGAAAACAGCCGGAGGCTGCAAACGAACTACATACTAGCCTTGATGGCATATTTCTTATAATATAGGTTAAAGGTAATGAAACATGTCACATTCCTCTTCAGGAAGCGCTTTTTCCGTAGCGCACATTGCTCTATTTGTGCAAGGCCATTTGTTTTTCTGGCTATGTTTCATCTGTTTGAACATTGCAGTCATCACCATTGGGCGAAGCAATTAATTTAAAACACATTGTGACCATAATTTAGCAAACCATTAATTTGACTTTTATTTAATTTCAAAATCTTTTATTAATCAATGTGGTGCCGTATTTAGACGTAATAGTTTTTTGCTTTGATCACATCGATGTTCGATTGATCGAGAAGTTGGTCCGCAAAGCGAAAGAAATGATTGCTTGCTCGTATCACAAATTGTTGACTCGAAGCAAATGGTCTTCTTTTTGGCTTTGTATTATTATACAGTTCTAGTGATAATAATCACACCGTCTTTCATTATTGATGTGATTATAGGTCGACGAAAAATTCAAAAATGGCTATAGAGATAGTAGAAGCTCCGTTTGTAATTGACCTATCACTTGCAGACAGTGAAATGCTGCTGCAGTTAAGAAACATGTATTAGGCTTTCTATTCATCGTTTTCTCATTCTTATGCATTTTGCCGGCAGAACAGATAGGCGCTACACTTTTTAATACCGTTTTGCACACATCTATCAATCATATGGGCCATGTTTTGCAGTGCGATTCACACGATCAGATGTATGAGGCATGTAAAATATGACCGGAGATCGAGATATGGCTCTCTGGCGAATGCTTTAAAGTTTAGAGATATCTCTCTAGTTTAACACAAAAAAACAAGGAATTAAGGCGTTAATTAATAATTCACCTTTGCAAATTTGATAAATTGCTTATACACTAAAGGCAGAACGTAAAAGATTACCGACCAAAATTTTAATTCCTTTCTTTTGCTATTTATTTTTGCTGTTGGCAATTTGGTTCGTATAGCGCACTGTCAAATGCACTGCTCTACATTACCTCCATTGCTGGTACTTCGCATCAGCTTCATGAAAGAGAAAAAATTGTTTTAGTTGTCATTTTATGTGCTCTGAATTAGGAAATATTACCTTATTTGCGTATGATCGCAAAACTATCACAGATGACTGAAGAAAGTGTTTTGCTCTGGTTTTTTTATCAACAGATCTAAATTGAATAATTACATCTACTGGAAACTAAACATCCAACATCTCACCTATAGAAAGACAAAGATTGCGAAGACAGATGTGTACGTAACTAGCTTGTACAAGATATTCACATCACAGGTAGGAAAACAACGCCAGTAGATCTTCGGGAGCGGCTGCATAGACAGTGTCAAATGACTTGGAGAATTTTAGAATACAGTGCGATACCTAAACACATTGTTTCTATTTTGGAAGAAATACAGCAGTCGCATCTGTTATCAAAGTGAAAGATGAACTATCGACGTGTGTAGTTCGTCAGGGAAATGTACTTTCGCATTCGCTATACATCAAACATTGTTCTTGACCGTATTCTGCTAGCGCTGACCCCGGAAAAGACAATGTGTGATTATAGTGGGAAGGTGCAGTTCAAGATATCTAGCTAGATATCTTACTGACTTAGAGTACGCAGATGGTATTTTTCTTGAGAGTATTACAGAGAGCGGGTTTTTTAACCTGACTGCAACCCAGCTATGAAAGAATTCAAAGATTTCATGATAGCCGGGGTGGAGTAGAGATTGGTCATACGTAATCGCTGGAAGAATGCAACAAAGGTTTTCATCAGTTTGCACTTGGATAAAACTCGACTAAGTGAGTACAAAAATTTCCGTTCTTTCAGCTGACTAATTTTTGAATGATTACCATGTTTTATTTTCATCTTTTAGAGATGGTCCAGCTTACTAGCTTTCACACAGACCCTGTTCATTGGATCAGCTGTGCTTGGTACGCTTACGAATTTTAAAGAATGATAGATAGATAGATAAAAGTTACAACTTTTAGGTGCATATTCCAGTCCAAGTTGGCATCGAGCAGAACTGTCCATAAATGCGCCATATCGTTCTTTCTCTGAAGAACGACTCTTTGCATTGCTGGGTGTCAAAATCGGCTTGTCGCACATGAATGTAACACTGCAAAGTATCATTTATTAGTCTTGAACGCAAGGGTATAGCCGTTTAGCGTTGTTTGTCGTTGGCCAGTGTTTTCGTAATTTCTGAACTGTGCGTTTATTGCAGGCATTTTCTATTTTTTTGAGCTGCTTTATTGATAAATTAATCTTTCGAAAGAAAACGCGTATGAAATTCCACGTGAATGTCGCATGCCTGTCAAAAAATTATTGACAAAAAATATTGACATTATCGAAAATCTTATTGATTCTTTGTGAATCAGAGTATTGATATTCACTGCAGCAACGACTGAGTATTTAGTATTTTTGGATTCTTCTGTTAACAACTGATTAAATATATGATTTTGTGGCATCTTTATCCATTTCAAACTTGTACTTATCCTGTTTCTCTTTTCTTTCATAGTCAAACCCTTACGCTCTAGAATTACGCGTACCGCCTGCTTGAAAAGCTAGCTTTTCTGTGCACTCCTTTCCTGTTGGCATAGTTTGTGGAATGTTCAGGTAATAGCTGCCTAACATGCTCGACTAGGTGAAAGCATAAACAGAATCCATACCGTCCTGTTATATGAATATTATACGTATAGCAGTTAGTTTTTTTTCCAGGGTCGGCACTGTCTTGTAGCAGAAAGTCGGGAAAGATGTTGCGTAGCGAAAGCAAAACCATATGTCACTGGTGAACTCCACTATTGATAAGGAACTACTTCGACTTTGACATCAGATATAATTCCTGCATAGATCTCTAAAAATGGAAACGATATGTACAGGTATGCCATGTGATTTCAAGGTTTTATTTTCACATCATCAGATAGTGTCTTGAATTAGATACAGCTTTAGTCGACCAGATTTGCAAAGCAGCGCAGCTGGGTTTATCAGCATTGCTCATTAGTCCGAAAGAATGACTGTATGAAACTGTAGTCAGGAACAAATAGCTTCTCTGGAAGCATGTTTGATTTGGATGCTGTCATATGTTTCTCGGCCCTTTCAGATTAATTGAAAAGAATAGGATTCGGGAGTTGAGAGTAGCGTGATACAACGATAATTGGAACACTGACCATTACCCTTTTAATTATAATGACAATTACTGCACGCTTCCATTCCATGATGAAGCGTTTTAAGATGCGCATTTTAGGAAATAGAGCATATTTCTTTCCTACTGTTCTCGCTCATCCATGCTTATTTAACTCCGGGGCAATCGATTCACACTTCTTCTTCACTTTGAGAGTACAGGAATGAATGCTGTTTGGAATTATTTTCTTCACACTTATTCTGATGCCATATCATTCATCGAAAAAGCAACCGTGAAGCAGCCCTTAAAACTTTCGTACTACCGTTTGCTTGAATATTTGCTACTGGAATGTGATCTTAACCTTATCGCGTACAACGAAGGTAGCCGTCGTTTTACCCTTGCTGGAAGGACGAAAATCTTGAAATAATCTAGAGTTTTAGGTTTGCAAACAGTTGGTCAAATTCGATACTTGGACTTCAACGAGCGATTCTACTTTCTAGATGGTATGTTTTGGTCAAGATCATGCTTTTATATGTTATGTATGCTCTGTTTAGTTAAGTCAATGGAGAAGAATCTTAGAAGTGCCCTGCGGAGTGGTCTGCCTTATCCAATTATCACCGTGATTGAGTATATGAGTATGGACAAAGGTGGTTTGTCATGGGGCCGTCGATATCGCTTAGGGGGCTATTATACAAAAATACTGCTTTGGTAAGTAGTTCCCTATACATTTGTCTTTGCGTAATTAAGCAATCATTAAGGTTCTGTAGGTTCGACACTTATATGTTATAAACTGCAATATACGATATTGTAAACTACAGTCTTTATGAATACAGTTTGATATGTTGCACTGCTTAAGCTTGTATTTGGTTTGTTTTAGCAGTTAACGTTACATCACTTCTCTTGAATACCAGTATAGAATAGACTTCGATGTGGCGACTGAGATTTTCAGACTTTCAGGATTTCAAGAAGTAGTGCTGTAACAGAGTTCGCTGGAATAATTGTCATCTGTAATCTGAACCCTCTTGTCAGCCTCTGCTTGTAACATAGCAACATCGGCAAAAGTGGCCAGAAAATCTCACTCGGTACTCTCTGCAGATATTAGACATTATTGCAAAGAAAATCGTTTGAAACTTTCACAAGTTAGTTACGATGTACTTTCGCTTCGCAAGGGCTGAGCAACAGTAATGTTAGTTTCAATTAATTCATTGAATCGAAAAACGTGATGGTAACTTTACTGTGAAAGCAGGGCTGACTGAAATAAATTAACATTTTTTGCGAGTGTATGTAAAGTTAAATATTAATGATATTAAATAGTGTAATAAAAATGGTAAAGTGTGATAAGATTGTCCCCTAAGCGACTAAAAGTAATGGGGCGGTGCAGTTGTGCCGCTTCAATCCAGTATCGAAAGAGAAAATGTTAAAATGGTAAAAGTTGTAAATAATGTTGGAAAGAAGGACGTATTGAACCTCTTTGTGCAAGTCTGTCTTCTAACGTGTTTTATGTGCCTGCGAGAATATTTTTGTGTCAACTGTGTGTTTGTTTAGGCTTTCATTTTCATTGTGGATAGCTCTTCTTTTCGTGCTCTGTCTTCTACCTCGATATTTTTCGCCTGCTTTGATAGCCGTTGGAAGCAGCTTATGCCTGACTGCTGCGGTTTATTTTCTTGCTACTCCGAGGAATTTCTCTATTCCTTTCTTGACAACCGCTGGAAAGACCGATAGGTTGGTCTTCCATTTTGGTTGGTGTGTCTGGATTGTTTTTGTTGCAGGTAAATCTCTGTTTACTTTTCTTATCAGCCGAAGGCGAGATCGACTTAGCTGTCAGTTGTTTTCGCCAGTTGTAGTTCTCAGCAACTACAATTTTCGTTACTCGTGTTTTCGAGCAGTTGTAGTTCGTATTAAGCTATTTATGCCTTTTCCGCTCTTCGACCCAGGTGAAAATCGCTAGAATGTTTGTAACCATTCATGGTTATATTTTGTGGGAGCAGAATTGCAGAACGTGATTGGTGTTCATATTTTCAGTTTCCACGCAAGCCAGTTAGTCAGTTTCAGTGACCGCTTATCCTTTCGGGTGGCGGAGGCAGATGCATCAGTCAGTGTCTCCATCGTTTCTAGTCCTATGCCAGCGTGTGTCGAGACACTTGTATCAAGTAATTCTTGGCTGCCTCAGGGTCTTCGGCCTATCGATTGAGCAAGTGATTAATGT